CTGTAGAGAATATACGTTGACACAAAAGGAAATTGCCAGCATCTCCTGGGATTCCTTTAGAGAAAACGAATGCTTTTGTTACCATAAGTACAGTTACCTGCTCCATGTTATACATTATATCTTCTTGTTGCTAATATTATCCATTTCTCATACCCTCCATGACTCTGGATAAACACCAACAGGTCTTCAGCTTGTTCCATGATTTCATACTTAAAAACCTGAACTTGTGCTAGGTTTCCCACTCCTATGAGGCACTCCATGAAATTGCTGAGCGGTCGGGTTAGAACGGATAAAAGGAAGTACTTCCTCACCCAAAGAGTGATTCACACATGGAATTCACTGCCACAGGAGGTGGTGGCGGCTACAAGCATGGACGGCTTCAAAAGGGAATTAGATAGGCATATGGAGCAGAGGTCCATCAGTGGCTATTCGCCACAAGGTATAGATAGGGGCTCTGGGGCAAGTGATGCTCTGTCTTCTTGGTGCTTGGGGGGGGCAACAGTGGGAGGCATACCCACAAGGCATACCCACTATGTGCATACATACTAATAGGCTTTTCCTCCATCTAAAGGCACGATAAAGTATAAATAACACAGCTGTGAATAGATTACATATTGGCATTCACATACAACTGTATTCAAGAAGTTGTACATTCTACCTTTATGGGAAACAAGCTGGGAAGCTCAGAGAAATCACAGGGGTAGGCAGTAAATTATTATGAAAATTGCACCAGCCCCTAAATCTCCCGGTCCAGGATGCTATAAAAGTTTAAAGGCTTGAGCAGGCCAATTTCCCCCATCTGGTTGTTTTATCTCCCCTCCCCTTTAACTGTTCTCAATATTGCAATAGCAAGGAGCATGCTTAATCTTCTGTAGGGGTAGGGTTTTTTCTTTTTAATTTATGCCTAGAATGTCTCCCAAGTATACAGAAACAGCAAAGTTATTTGTGAACAGTTTCCTTTCACTGCCTTCATAACAGACACTTGACCATGTTGTTTGGTATTAGAAGAAGGAACAAGTGAGAACCAGCAGGGACTTGTGGGAAGCATCTCATTTCTCCCTCCCACATTATTTCCTCTTTTCTTTTTCTGAAAGCCCCCATAGCCTCTCCCCTTTTCCTGATTCCTTCTGCCCTTCCCACCTAACAGCCAGCTTACATTTATCTGCCCTTTTATCTTCAGGTTTCTCTCTCCCCCAACAGCCTCTACCTATGGTACAGTTGTGTGGTGCTAGCCAGTTGGCCAAGCCCACTCGCAAGGTATGGAACCCTCAGGGACTTGTGGGGAGCCACCTTACTTTCCCCTGTATCCCCCTCTCCACACCATTTCCTCTTTCCATCCTCCTGTCAACCCCCATATCCTTCCCCCTTTCCCTGCCTTGTCCTCTCCTTCTCAGATATTCACTAACTACCTTTTATCTGCCTCTCATCTTCAGCTATGTTTATTACTTATTTACTACATTTAGACACCATCGTTCTCCACAGTGGGGACCAAAGCACCTTACATTATTCTCCTCTCCTCCTTTTTTTTCTCCTGACAATTACCCGGCGAGGTAGGTTAGTCTGAAAATATGTGACTGGCCCAAATCACCCAGTGAGCTTCCACAGGAAGATGGGGATTCAAACCTGGGTCTCCCGGACCCTACTCTGAAGCTCTAACTGCTACATCACAGTGGCTTTCGTAGGATGGCTGCTCATGAAGAGTAGCAAGCAGCCTGGCCTAGATGAGTCCACCTTCCAAAGCAGCCACTGTCTCCAGGGGAACTTATCTCTATATGGACAGCAGTTGTAATTCCAGGTGATCTCCAGCCTGTGCCTGGAGGTTGGCAACCCTAGTTCCCCTGGAGGAAATAGCTGCTTTGAATGGTGGAGTCTATGGCACTGTAACCCCTCTGAGGTTCCTCCCGTCTTCAAACCCGTCCCTTTCAAGGTTCCACCTTCCAAATCTCTAAGAATTTCCTAACATCTGGTTAACAACCCTGTCTCCTTCCCATCCAACAGCCAACCTACCTTTACCTATCCCTCTCTTTTAAGCTTCCCCCCCCCAAAGGCAGCATCTGCCTAGGAAATCTGTGCCCCAGTTGTGTGGTGCTGGCCCCTAGGCCAGGCCCACTTGCATGGCAGAGAACCCTCAAGGACATATGAGGTGGGACCTTACATTTTACATTATTCTCTCCTCCTTTTTATCCACACAACAACCCTGTGAGGTAGGTTAGGCTGAAAGTATGTGACTGGTCCAAAATCACCCAGTGAGCTTCCACAGCAAGATGAGGATTTGAATCTGGGCCTCCCAGACCCTACTCGGGAGCTCTAACTGCTGCACCACACTGGCTTTCATAGGGTAGCTGCTGTTGAACAGTAGCAAGCAGCCAAGCCTAGTCAAGTGGTATCAAGTCACCCAGAGATTACTTCCAGCCCAGGCCTAGAGTAGGACCTGGAGATCTCCCAGAATTACAACTGAACTTCCATGACAGAGAGAAATAAGCTGTTTTGGAGGATGGACTCTATGACATTACATTCAGCTGAGGCCTCTCTGCTCCGCAAGCCCTGCCTTCCTCAGACTCTATAACAAAATCTCCACAAATTTCCCAATGTGGAGCGGGCAACCCTAGCTCAGGCCTGGCCCCAATGATTCCTCCCTCAAAGACCAAAATAGGCCTGGGAAGGGCCCTCCTCCTTCTGCCTTTTACTGACAGAGCCAAGCCTAGAATACTGTGGTTACCTAGCAACAGCCACTTAGAGAGTCCATTGCTTAAAGCTACAGGTGCTCCTTTTATCATTTTCACATTTCTTAAACCACTTAATGTATTTATTTTTTTCAGATTTCACATTTTTCTGCAAACCTGGGGGGATTTGTCTTGCCTATTTACAGCTCCAATCACGATTTAAGTATCCAAAGATATCCCAACTTTGCTATTAAAATATAAGACAAGCGATGAGCCCATGAGACCCATGGGGGGGGGACCCCATATCCCCCCACTGCTGAGCCAGTGAGGCTCCAGGCTCCACAACAAACACTGAGCCTGGCAACCAGTATCCCCCCCCCCCCCCCCGGGCCCGCAGCGGCTACTGGCATCTGCCACCACAGTGCTTGGACCTGGAGCGGCTGCCGGCGTCCGCATCCCACAATGCTGGGCTAGCAGCTGCTGCCAGTGGCCACCACCACAGCGCCTGTTCCTGCAGTGGCTGCTGGTGTCCACCACCATGGCTGGGCCTGCAGCAGCTACCAGCATCTTCCACTGCCAGGCCCACAGCAGCTGCCGGTGTCCACCACGGCTGGGCCCAGAGCAGTGGTTGGAATCCTCCTCCACAAGCCTAGACAACACAATTGTATTTGGGGGGGATTTAAATCCCCCTATCTATTTTTTATTTAAGATTTTTCTGCACACTTGGAGAGTTCCCCAAGTGTGCACAAAAATCTCTTTAGCCTCCACATGGCCCCAGTCCGCAGATTTAGCTATCCAGGGCCAAAGCTGGCTATTAGACTATAAGATAAACCAAAGGCATGCAAGGATGCACAAGATGGCATAAGTGTTTTGGAAAGTCCCTCCACACACACGCACCCAAATTCCACCTTCCCTGACTCTGTAAGCACTCAAGGGCTTCAACAGGCCAATTAACCCACCTCTGTCTGGTTCCCCCCCTCCCAGCTGACTCTCAAATGCCTACATCCCATACCTCCCCAAATCCATTTAAGAAAGACATATTTTTCTGCACATCCGATGAGCCCTTCAAATATGTACAATGCTCACATAGTCTGTGGGTGGCCTCATTTTGTTGCTTTTCATGATTATGAGTCACCTGTTTTATTATGAGATATAGTTTAGAAGAATTATACTCCTTATTCCAATCATGCAAGTTCCAGGAAAGTTTCTGACTGATCTCATCATAGTCTTTGTCATGTGTTCCTATTGTTCAGGATTTACTTACATCTAATTGTCGTTGCTAGGGTATGGCTGCTAATGGTGTCTGCCAAATTAACACTTTCAGACACTTCACATTATCTCTACTGGGGCATTAAATATGTGCAGTATGCATAAATGTGAGTAATCTGCGGACATTCTTGCTCCATAAAAAAGCCCTATAAAGCCCCACAGAACACACATTTTGGCTCACACTACCCAGTCCTTACAAAGGTGGTATCTACCTCTGCACAAACATACACACCTAACACAAAATTCTCAAGTCACAGAATGCCTTATGCCTGCTCTTTTTAGAGGGTTCTGTCCTTGCCTAACCCTCATTTTCCAGTTTGGGGGCCCAGCTGCATAGGCCCAACCCTCTTTCCTTAACAATCACTTTTCACCCTTGAATTTGATGGTGTAGTGGTTAAGAGCCGCGGACTCTAATCTGGAGAACAGGGTTTGATTCCCCACTCCTCCACATGAAGCCAGCTGGGTGACCTTGGGTCAGTCAGTTCTCTCAGAGCTCTCTCAGCCCCACCTACCTCACAGGGTGTCTGTTGTGGGGAGAAAAAGGGAAAGCGGATATAAAACCAACTCTTCCTCTTCTGCTTCCTCAGAATTCTAATTAGGAGCCAGGCGCCTGCAACGGACAAGGCAAATAAAGTGAGTGTCATTGAACTTTCTTCCTTTACGTGCTAGCTCCTACATAGAATTGGCAGATTATGTGAGTAGTGTAACGCTTTGATCTGCCAAGTTTTTTTTTTAATGATCCTACTCTCCTGATAGCTGCCTGTTGCACAGCCATTTAACAAACAAAGCTTCTATGATCTCTTTCCCTCCTAGCCAGGAAACGCCCGACAAGTTTTATTTCTGCCTGTTAGAATGCTTCTTAATAGCAGAGCTAGCAACTTTTGCTTCCTCGCCGCAGCTGAGAACGGCCCAGCCTTAGCCCGAGACCAAGAGGTCCAGCTGCGGCACCACTGCCCTCTCTCCCTCCCGTCCCACGCTGGGGAAGGGCGGCCTCTCAGCAAGTGGACGAAGGCGGAGCTGACGCTCTCGACGTGCAAAGCAGCAAAGCTCGGCCGGAAGAGTGGCGCGTGTGATTGTCCCAGCTGAAGTAGTGGAACATGTTTGGAATGATCAAAAACTCCCTTTTTGGCACATCAGAGGTTTGGCCCTGCCGGGTGCTCAGGAAAGGGGAGAAGGTAGGGACTGGGAGGGGGCTGTCTAGGGTTGGGGAGGGAAGAACGGGCGCTGAGGACGGAGTGGGAGGCGCTGTTACAAAGCCTGGTTAAAGTTACTTAAAAGAGGTTCTTTCACCTTGTGTCTGCTTCGGTAGCAGTATCTTTTAGGCATACCAGTGAAGCCCCCGGGATGCGAAAGGTGCAAGCCCCAAGCCTGTCCTCGAGAATCTCGGGGGTGTGGGCTGAGGAGGCGGCTGGAGATCCTGGGGTGTGGGCCTAGGGATGCCAGCCTCCAGGTTGGACCTGGGGATCCCCCAGAATTACAGCTCACCTCCAGACTACAGAGTTCAGCTCCCTTGGAGAAAACGGATGCTTTGGAGGATGGACTCTGTGGCATTGTACCCCACTGAGGCCCCTGTCCTCCCCAGGCTCCACCCGCAAATCTCCAGGAGTTCCCCAGCCTGGATCTGGCCACCCTGTGCCCCCCATTCCTCACTGGGGGCCGGGGGGGGGAACTGGCAACCCAAGGTGCAGCACTGAAATCATGTGCGGTAGCAAGGGAGGGACTTTGCCCTAGCACAATATTGGGCAGCCTCATTTGTGCTGCAGATACACTTTCCCTTCCTTACAATCGATATGCCTACCTGGCATATATCAGGAGAGAGTTCAAAGTCTCTCCTGATATATGCCAGGTAGTCTCACCAATGACTAATTATGTCCAAGTGTCTACAGGTGCATCCAGTGGGAAAGTCATTCTGTCTTAGTATCCTTTTAATGGCAGAAATGAACAGCATGGAGATGTAGGTGCAGTCTGCGCGGGATGGGATTTTGCAGCTTCCCCTTTGGTGGTGCAGCATCAGATAAGGCACGGCAGCAATGGAGCTTCTGCATGGCAGGTTTTCATGCAGTTTTTCTGCTCCAGGCCCACAAAGTGGCTATCCTTCCTTCACTAGATCACTAGGGATTTTGCAATTTTTAAAAACAATCAGCACTAGAATATCATTATATTAATATACCACTGTAACTATAGGTGTTGCAGGTTTTTTAAATTCCCAGTTTTAATTTTAAAAGGTAAGTTACTAACACCCAGCAAAGATACATCTTTTCTGTTATATCTCTGCAAGGAAAAGGGCTAGAGACTTACTTTAAATAACTGAAAGCTGAAAGTTCAGAGAACCCACTGTGCCTGTTATTAGAATAATAAAATTATTTCTAGTGCCAATTTTAAAAATCCCACTCCTTTCATGGCAAGGGAGGGAAATGGCTGCTGTGGGGATAGGGTCAGAGAAAACGGCTGCCATGTAGGCCAGAAAATCCAAATTTTCCCACCTACACAAAAGTCACCCAGGCTTTACTGCAATCTTTCCCAGAACTTTGGAGCAAAGTAGATTTGAGAAGGTGCATAAATGGACCAAGATGATGCTGTGGAGCAGGAAAAAAACACTTCCCAAAAGCATTGACCTGGGGGCAGATGACCCGGGGAAAACCATGACAACGAGGAAGTAAACCGCATCTGCTGACTTTTGCCTGTAAAGCAGTTATGAAAGGCACAGGGCCTCTGCTCCCTTAAAGGGTGTGTGTGTGTGATAATAATGCCTCTAGTAGAATGTCATATGTCCAACCTGCAAACAAGGAATTGTATTATGTGGCAGAAAGAATCGTGCACAGTTATCTGCACTGGAGCCCTGGGATTTGTCTGTAACATTTCTATATTTCCTTTCAAACAAAATGCATGTCTTGGATCCCTCATAGTGCCATAGGGGTGCTCTGTGGCTACAGCAATTCAATAAAAAGAAAAGCATGTGAGTGGAGTTTTCCCCCTCTTTGGTGATTGATCCTAATTGCAAACTGAAGTATAACATACTAGGAATAAGTCCCGTTGTGGATTACCTCAGTACTGTTTGACCTCTGAAGAAAGTCCAAATTAGGCAGAAATATGTCAGGTCATGTGTATGGGCCCTTGTGTTTAGGCCACTTTAACTTTTTAACAAGGCTGTCATTGGGCCCTTACATGTTTTTAACTGTCTTTCTCATAAATACATGTATTTTTGTATATTGTAAGTTTCAACTAGATTTTTAATACTGGCCCTTTATCAGACTTCTTTCTTACCCTTTTGGTTCTTGATTCCAGTTTTTGGGTCAAGTTTGTTTTCCCCTCTCTGTGTCTTTCAACTGCATTCCTACAAATATTTTTCCTGTGAGAAAGCTCCACTGAATAAACTGGGACTTACTTCTGGGTGGACCTGTTAAGGATTGCTTTCTATAACTACAACCCTAAGTATTTCCTAAATCATTGACTTTTTTCTGTTTAGGATTACACTGTGCTATATCTATATAGATTACTTCATTATAACATTTACTAGGTTTTTTTCAACTTTAGGCTGCCTATACCGAGAAGACAACAGAATCTGTTGAGAGTGGTGTTCAGTCTATAACGGCTGTGTCTACATGCATTGCAACTTACTAGAAATGTACTGACAGCCTCATAGTCTTGGAATGGCTTTACAGAATATGGTGAATTTGACTAGACTAACATACTATAAACAATATTTTTGAAGCACTGTGATTTTGTTATCATACAAACCACTTTGTTAATTATAACGTATATACAACTAATAAAATTATTTATTTTAAAATGTGCTGCCTCCAGGACAACTGCTTGGCCACTCTGTGAAACAGGATGCTGGACTAGAAGGACAAGATGGACCATTGGTCTGATTCAGCAGGGATGTTCTTCTGAAGATGCCATTATGGGATATCAAGCATTAATATCAATATATTAACTACTGGAAGTTTTGTTTGTTTTTAAATCTACCAAAATAACTCTTTCTAGGTTTGAAAACAGGACTGGGAATATCACAAACATAAGAGGCAGTTGCGATGCAGTGCACAGATGGGTCACAAAACTGGTTATAACATCTGCACATTGAGGGAGTAGGACTACACCAGCTATCAACTGCAACCCCTCCCCCCAAAAAACCCCACAGTTTCTTCCAACTCCATGGGTAAGAGCAGGAATTTTGTCAAGACTTTCGAATTTCACTACACTATGTGTAATCCGCCTTGAGTCTATGAGAGAAAGGTGGTCTATGATAATGTAAATAACATAAATCAAGAGGTTTTCCCACACTGACAAGATAACATTTCTTTATTACATTTCACTACACTATGTGTAATCCGCCTTGAGTCTATGAGAGAAAGGTGGTCTATGATAATGTAAATAACATAAATCAAGAGGTTCTCCCACACTGACAAGATAAGTTTTCTTTATTACACCACTAGGAATAAGGCCCATTGTGGAAATAAATATGAGCTCTAGAAAGAGATCCCTCAAATCTCCAGGAACTTCCCACCTGGAGTTGGCAACACTATCTCCTTCCCAGCCAATCATCAACCCACCTTTATTTCCCCCTCACTCTTCAGCTTTCCATTTCCCCCACACACACACACACCTGCAGCCTCTTCCGTGTTCTGAAGCCCTGACTGCCACAGAGTCCACCATTTTCTCCAGGGGAACTGATCTCTGCCATCTGGAG